TTGGACTGTATCCAGTCTCAAGTAATAAATCTAATCAGAACACTAGATAAAAAATTAATAGACAGTTCAAGGGAAAATTCACGGATCTAAAAGTGTGTACGCCTCTATGAGTAACCCAGCAACCCTATTGTTGCCAAATAGCAACAACTGCTACTGTGCATGGTAGATAAGAAACGCCACTATGAGTAAAGTAAAGCTTGAATTCTCGATCAGCAACTAAATTCATATACATAACACCACTAAGACATAATAATAAAATAAATCAAAACAAACCAACTATTATCATATGAGTTACGCACTTTGCTTTGTCAATACTATGCCATCAGTGTTCACTTGGTATAAGTCTGTGCAGAATAACTCATGTCCTTCCAGTGCCTGGGATATAGTACATTGAAGGATACAACAATTAGTATAAACATTACAAGTTTGACTCAGTTTTTCTCAATGGCATTTAAACCAGAGTTAGTTACCTTAAGTAACTCATTTATATTGCTCCGCGATATCACAATTCTCCTATCTTCTCCAAGTTGTTTCTTGAATAGTCTGAGGGGCTCTTCTTCCTACACCAAAATTTTAATGGAAGGAATTAAGTACAAAAGTGGTTCCTTAAGAAATAGACAGGAGTCAGTCATATGAAATCCCTAGACGGTGATGCTACAAGTCATAAGGATGAAGATTATATGTAGTACCACAACCGTTTTGGTAATGTGGGTATATGCCTCTCACTTTTTACATGTATCCTGATGAAACAACTAATTCTAGCTTTGTGAAAGCCTAGCCGGCTCACAGATGAATCTGTACCTCAAGAGATTTAGAGAAGAGATATTGTCCAAGAGACATGATAGACTAGTCTATGTTATCTCACTTAGGTATAACAAAACATCTACACCTCCTAATCAATTGTTTTAAGTCATACAGGAATAGTTCATTGTTATTGTGATACAAAGTTTTCATAAGATACTAGGCATTAGGCATACCTTTGGAGGATGTAGGCGCATAACATTAGTGAAAAGGTTGTATATCTCATTCTCCTCTGACTTTTTCCTTCCCGTGAATCCCTCACTTAGGTTCTAAGACAAGAAGCAAAAGTTTAGCAAGTTAAAGTACCAAGAAGAACATGCATTGCAAGGGCCGTCATTTTATCGACAAAAAATGTAAAAAACATGACTAATTCATAGCTGCCATGTAATGGGTGTATAAGATGTTGAATAACTTGCAAGTCCTCATTAGACGGTTTTCATCAACTCATGCAAAGACAAGTGCACCATGAATCAATAAAATGCTACTTGAATGTTTAGCTTACCAGCTTCGTAAGCCGGCTAAAGTTTGGGAGTACCATCGTCTGTTTTCAAGAAAAAATAACATAGTTCATCCACTGGTCAGTCACAAAGAAAGGGCAAAGAATAACCAATGACAACTTGACAAGAGAGAGATGTTGACATGCTTACGAATTTTTCTCTTTCTTTTGAGCCTGTTTCTATCTTGTTCTGCCCACATATCATAACAATCGGACCTGATAATTTATTAAACATTTCCTGAACTTTGTCTACAAATTCCTTTCTTCTCGTTTTAGGAACAGCTCTAGACAACCACTGCGAGGGGTCTGGAAAATAGACTATAAGTGGTTGAACGGATTGCAGAACCTACAAYGACAGGAAAATAATGGAATAAATGTAGAAAAGAGGCAGAATTACAGGCATCCGCAGTATGGGCATAAAAGAATGAATCCAGCCTACTTGTTCAAGCTCTTTAAAAACAGTTGGTATATTCAATGTTATGGCAATCGAACTTGGTCAGAGTTTTCAGCACAC